AATTATATTGATTCATGATAAATCGTTAATATTATACTTGATGTATCAGAAAACAGTGATATTTTCAGAGCCGGGCAAGTAGAGCTGTTAACTCTGTTACGTTTTGTAGTCTCCAGGCACTGCTTTCTGATTGATATTAATAAATTGTGAGGTAGAGAAAAGTGGGTAGAATTTACATGTGATATGAGACTATTTATATTCAACAAGTGGGCTAATTATGGGCACCAAAACTGTGGTTCGTCAGCCTTTGTGGCGGAACAGGCGTTAAGGCGTGATACGGCGTGATACGGCAAGTGACGCCTGTACACGTGTCAGGCGTACCGTATACGTCATATCCCAACAGCACTTTTATGTAAGCAACTCCCAATTCAAGTGTGGACGCGTAAATTGAAAAAACAAAACAAACGCGTGACAAGACCAACACTTTTGTTTCTCATTCCTCCCTCCATACCTATCCTAGAATGAAACAAAGGATACGATAGCATGGCAGAGGCGGGACCATCTACTCTTCAAAATGAGGTATCACGGAGAAACTTTGTGCTCAACTCTCCACATTACACTGCTTCTCCGTCTTCAAAAAGACGATTTACTTCCATAGAGCAAGATGAAGAGGAAGAGGAGGACGTGGATGAAAGTGGACAATTTCCTAATGACGGTAGCACAACAATAATCGATCCAGCCAGATTTGAAGAAGAACAAAGACAAGAACGTGAACGGTTATTACAGGAAATCGAACGCGAGACTGCACTCCTACAACGTACAGAAGGAAAAGCTGCATCACTTCGAAAAGGAATAGACAAGACAACGACAAATAATCCGCAAAACAATAATACCGGTCTTATACCGGGCATATCAGCTACGCTCATACCGGAAAATGAAGAGGAACTCGAATCGCTGGAGGCAATGCTGCGTGAGATGGATGATGGAGCTTTGAGTGCGCTTCTCACCCATAATATACAGGCTAATACGTTGCGAGATCTGCTCCCTCTCCTACCGAAGGAAGCACCGCCGACGATCTTGCCTCCTGCCCGTTCGGCTGGAGCTGAAGCATCAGGATCAGGCTTGCAAGTTGATGAAGAAGTGAGAGCATTAGCCGATGCAAATACGGAAGATTCACTCTATCGATTGGTTGAGGAAACCTTGCGGGAAAGATTAAAGAGAGGTGAGGAACTGGCAAAGGCATTGTCTACATTTACGGGTATCAGACTGGAAAGCGTTGAAAGTAGCGATCCTAAACAGCAGCAAGTATCAGAGCAAGAGTGCTCGATTCGTCATATCACGATTCGCGGTAAACTACTCGGTGATCTTGGTGCGATCGTTTTGGATATGGATGTAGAAGAATCACAAGAAGATCAATTGCCACGAATAATAACGCTAGATATTGAAGTGGACGATGCGGTTTACTTTGCCATTGGAGCGGAAAAGATCAACTTTTATGTTGAATCTGTCAATTTACCTGCTGTTTTGCTCGCCATTCAAGCGATGATTCCGATCGCTGTTAATCGTTTTCGCCTTTTTAACATCCTTTGCAAATTGTATCCTGATTTGACAGCGCGAAAAGTGCAAGAAGTGCAAATTCTTGGGATGGATTCTAAACAAGTATCCTCAAATATAGGGCGTAAGAGGAAGGTTGGGGATATCTTGAGCGCTCTCCCACCTATTTCGCGGTTACTCGATCCAGAAAAGATGGAAACCCTCAGCTTAGAGAACTCGGCTGGGGCCAGACTGGATATCATCTTTCGCATCCAATTCAATCAATACGGACATGCAAATTCTCTTATAACTATCAAGCCAAGCATACCGGAAGAATATATCAAAGATGAAGACGTACGGGATTTCATTGACGAAATGCCTAATAACTTTCATCATTTCATCACGCATAGACCATCATACATTGATATTCATGGTGCCTTGGTGGCGGTGATTGATTCTTTCTTTCGTCGTTGATGTCATTCACTATATTCATTTGTATTTTATTGCTATACCTAGCTGTACATTACCCACCACAATCAAAAAGCATTCAATATGGTGTGAGAAGCTTGCGGAGTTAAGACACGCACTTAAACCCGCGTCGTCTTCTTACTGGAGGCACATTTCGACCATTGATGGCGACAAGTTGAACATCTCTATTGTCGTGATCATGAGCGCCATGGTGCAGATGATGATCGAATTCAACTTCATCTTCACTATCATCATTGATCTCGACAGGTCCGTCATCGATGAAATCGTTATCTTCATCTTCCCAATCTTCGTCCTCGCTTACGCCAAATTCTCCTCCATAGATCATGTCATGAATGTCAAATTCTGAATCGTCTTCATCGTCGTATTCGTCTAGCTCATTTTCGCTATATTCGATCGCACAATATGGACTTGTGCAAGCTCGATTTACGATCTCGCTAGCACGCAGTCCGTATCGATGAACGCGATCGTCTTCATCGAAGATAGGATGCTGAAATGGCTTATCATTGTGTAGAAAAATTGTATCCCAAAGTACCCGATAAAGATAGGATGCTGATATGGCTTATCATTGTGTGGAAAAATTGTGTCCCAAAGTGCCGTACCTGCTTTTAGGTTTTCGCCTCGAGCTTCCTTTGCTTCTGCGTCTGTAGAAGAGGAGCTATTTGAAATGTCTGTGTCCTTATCATTGCCTTGACCTGATCGTATACTTTCATCGAGCTTGTCTACCAGACCTTTGATCATCCAAACTTCTGCTGGTCTGGCTTGAACTCTTATACGATAATGCGGATAAAGCTTTTTACATCGTAATGTCCGACGTTGTTGTTCCTCTGTCCTTTACTCTTCTATCAGATACAGAGCAAATAGTGGCTCACCTGGCAATGCCTTTCTGAACCACAACACAAGACAACGAGCACTAAATACATGACCACAAGGGGAAAGCACATGTGGTCTATATGCGAGTTCCAAACAAACCGTAAGCGCGCTCGGCAAGTGTAGACATATTCCATTCAGCTGTCAAAGAGACAAATTATTCGCCAGCTGAGCATGAATAAAATTATCAAATTGGACAATACAATTATACCTCAACCTCATTGGGTGCGTCATACCTCAATACAAGGCCACACCAATGGACTATCCTAGTCGGAATGTGCTTGGCGGCAAGTGTGGATCTATTCCATCCAGCCGTCGACGACACAACACATCACTGTACCAACTCATTAGATCCTTTGTATTACCTTATTGTTCTATGTATTAATGAAATTCA